AGTATCAGCCTGGGAGAATAGCGTAAGCCTCCTGTCGGCATTTGTGTTTCCTTTAAGCAAACATGCCAGCAGGGCTTTAATAAATTGTGCAGTTTATAAACTACCAAAAAGTCAAGCATTTGGCAGATTCCAAGTGATGAAATTTGGGAACTCAAGGAAACAGAAGGTATTTTAAAGCAATTGCTATGAAAAAATGCAGCCTTCTTCCAGCCTTTCTTGGTCTTCAGTGATGGAAATATCAAAACCTAAAGGAAGCCCTATTTTGGATTTGGAGATAGCTTTCATTGGCTTTATCAATCGCTTTAGAAGAAAAGATGGTTCAGAAAGGCAGAGTGTATTAGCTTCCTCATAGCTGATTTCTTGAGTCACTCTTATAACCCCAAGGAGGATGCTCAAAAGAAAGGAGAGGGAAGCAAAATCCTTTATTGTCACCTTTTGGGTCATTCATACAAATGCAGGGGATCTTGGGGGGAGATCTGATGAAACCAGAAACATTAGGAGCAAGGAGGTCATAGCACTTTAGGGTAACCACAGTTCTCAGAGTAGCTACTACACATTTATTAAACAGGGGACCAAAGACTCGTGGATGAGGTCTGCTGGGATTTTGTTTCCCAGGAAGTCTCAAAACATGGAAATGCCACCAAATAGTTTATGAAGATGGCGGTGACTCAGGATAATAAATTGGTCAGACCATTTATATATGTTTTGGAGGTGAATGGAAGGACAGAAGAGACAGTAAAGAAGGATTTTTCATCATCATTCTTCATTCTGATTTCTCTTCCTGTTTAATCAGTTTTCCTCCTCATAGCAATAGCTGTCATCACATTCTGCTTTGTTGCCATTCTGCAGGGAACCGTAAGTAGCTCATAGGTAGTCCATTTTCATAGCCACTACCCAAAGAAAACATCCAACAGTTGCTTGCAATTTGTTGTGTTACTGATTTGATCTTCAATTTTTCCAGCACCATCCAGCTCTTCAAGAACTGTCTGTCTTTTATACTATTTGGATTGCCAATAACTACATATCTTGGAAGCGGAAAGGAAGAACCAAGGCAGGCAACAAATTGGTGAGACACATTCACCGTCATCATCTTCACTTCTAGATCAAGTTTCCTCACTCCTGTTCTCATTGTTAATCATAGGAGGGGTGACCCAGATACTAAACCAGATGTCCATGTACAAAGGGAAGGGTTGCATGTAACTACCATACTGCGCAAACACAGTTTAGAAAAAGCAGATGCCTTGACAGTTCCACCTTTCAGAGAGGCATACACTCAGCAGTGCACGTCATAACACCGTTTTGGTGAAGCTAACCAAAAGTTTGGTAGTCACGTCAACAAAACAGCTAATACTTCTATGTTCTACAAAAGCAATGCTGTAACAACAGCTTGGTCCTTTGACTCTTGTAGTTGGTTCAACCCGAATTTGACATTTTTGATTCAGAAAAATATAAAATACATCATTCATGAATAAGGGTCCTTAGAATTATAAAAGATATGTGGCAATTTATAAATGCTTTTATTGTCACGATTAACACTCCTCCTCATGATTTTATTTTGCTGGCTCCCAACTGATTGTTTTAGAACGGGGCTTCACAAGGTTCATAATGAAGAGAAATGAGTAGTTTTACACTGTTTTGACACAGGTTCACATATTGGTCCTGATTTACTCAAAAGCTTATCAATATCTAGAAAGATTATACCTGGAATGATTTCAGGGATGACTATCTTCCAGGGATCCCTTGTAAAGGAATTTTCATTCATTCTACTTACAATCTAGAAGCAGTACTTCCTGTGCAGAGAAATGATTCTAGTGTTTCTGCAACCTGTCACATCTATGACAAAATTAATACTCAAGTACATTAACAAGTCTTTTGGCAAGTCTGAAATCAGTTTCATGGGAGATGAATTGCAGTAATTTTCACCCTGGCAAAGATTTAATTACACTAGCTGAGAAATTCAGGGACTGGCAGTGGAAATAGAGAGGCTGGAGCCATGAATTTCACTTAGGAAATAAACATTAAGATTCCAATTCACGTCAAGGAAAACAGCAACACAAGCGCTGAGGTTTGATCGAGGGCCCTGATGTCTGAACAACTGCGCTGTGCACAACTGCTCTGTGACCAATCGGCAGGGATGGATACGATGGATGGATATAACCGCTCTGTCCAAAGTTTCTCATGACCATGAGATGCTCGTTTCTCATGGTCAGCCCCCTTGATGAGATTGCACCCGCGTTTAAGCAGAAGAACGGTCCCACCTTACAGCGTGGCCTCCTTCCCAAAGAGGAATACTACTTTGCGTGCAACTCTGTATTTCACAGCAATGGTCCTACACCTGCATCCCGCTACTCCAAGCTGTGGACGAGGCCAGCTTTACGCCACGAGCAGCAGAACAGACACAGCCTGTTTCCTCGGGGATTTTTGTCACAGAGCTGCCACTGACGTGTCCCCAGCTACTTTTCATTTTTACTATCAATTGCTCTTTCCACAAAAGACTTTCGGGGCTCTCCTGTGTCCCTTTCTTCTTGCTGGGCACAAGGCCAGTAGGTCTGTGTGGACTGACAACTCAGCCAACCCGCACAGTTTTCTGTCGAGCTCATACTGCTGAGTCGACCTCGAAAAGGGAAATGAGTTTTGTTTCCTTCCCCAAGCTGCTCGCTTTCTTGGAATTTATGGGAAGCTATTTAACTCTAAAACTTTTCCAGTCCTGTCAAATGTGCTTGCCTTTGTAAGATCCAGTTACATTCCCCATAGATAAATGAGAATAGAGCCAGAATTGTCTTCTGGCACTAATCACATGTATCAGGCACAGCTTGGGCATCTTCAAGCCCTTCATTTGTTTGAAAATGATCTCCTTGCACACATTAGGATTTGGGACATCAAAAAGGACTCTGAAAGACCACAGACTACAGCTTCAGTCTGCTTCAGTCATACAGAGAGGGGGAATACAACATTTCCAGATCCCCAGGGCACTGGCTGAAAGCAAGACAGACATTATGAAATACTGCATTGGCTTTTCCTAGAAAAAATACTTCTTTTCTCTTTTTTTCCTTCTAACCAGGTTATCTTCCCAGCACATGGGAGGAAGGATTTCCAAATACCAAAAAGGGCCATTTTTTTCCCCTACTGTCCTCATTCCCAAGGAAATGCTGATGTCTGAATGCTACTTTAACAAGTCAGATTTTGAGTAGTGTTCTCACAAATAATGTCTTCTTTAAAGCATTAAAAAGTGCAAAACTTGGCATGTACAATGAAAACCACACGGTCATCTGTTGTTCTCCAAGAAAGGCAGGTCAGTAAAAACCTGCTGTGAGAAGCAGTAGAGAAAACACCTCAGTTTCAGATCTTCCCTCACTGAGTACCCACACTGTAAGACACCAGACAACACAAGGGAAAGCATTTGCTGATGAAGCAATATTCCAGCAGCATGTGGATAGCTCCTTTTAAAAAATACAGACAAAGATAAAACGGTTTATAGACGCACATTCAGATTTTATCAGACCAATCTCTAAAAACACCATTTAATCCAAATCTCCACTTTACAGTTTAGAACTGCACTGTAATCCCATGGAACAATGCCCACTTTACGTTGGGAAAATTAATTTCTAGAAAGAAGATTTTATTCTGAAAGGCAGATTTTAAAAGCAAAAATGCCTTTTTTCCCCCAGGGTCCTACATTGATAGCTGAATTATTCATATTTAAAGAAGAGCCAAGGTTTCTGGTTTTTTTTTTAATGATATCTCTATAATTGGTAGTTGGCATTCTACAAAGAGAGAGGTTGTCATCATATGATAGGACACATTCTCCAAAATATTAGCACTTTGGAGCTAAAACAGGTAGCACAGGAAATCATTGTGGAAACCTGACAACAGTTTTGTTGTTTCAAGAGCTTGACTAGAATTTCAGCTACTAATGATGGAGGCGTGAAAAGGGAACACTAATCTGGATTCAAGAGTTACCGGTGATAACATCTTGCAGCAGGAACTGCACTGTAGACTAAACTAGTCTTCTCTTCTTGTCCTACAGTGCTAAATAAACAAACAAAAAGATGTCTCATTTACACGGCAAGAGAATCATCTGCTCTCCAAGTAACAACCTAAAATAAAACAGTCCTTTAGGCACTGCACTTACTAGGGCAGCCTAAGTGAAATGTATACACTTATATAATTCACTGATTGCAAAGAGAATTACTGCATTACATAAGTGCTCACCATTACCTTTTTTTTCTCTTTTTTTTTTCTTTCTTGCTGGCTATGTAGATTTTGAGTGCTCCCAAAAGCTGTTTTATTTTTCAAACTTTCTTTGACCAGAGACAATCTTGCAAGAGAAGTACAAGTCTTTAAGGCCAACATTACAATCCAAACAGAAGAGCTAGCCACACAAAGGGAAAGGATTTTCAACACATTTTAAATGACACTTACATTCATTTCTGCAGTTTTTCTGCTATAAGCAAATGAAGAACCTCCTTCTGCTTTCCACTGAACAACTCATATCCCCTTGACAGTCAACGTGCGTCTGGAGTCCAAACGAACACAGAATTAATCCCAAAGGCTGAACAGCAACACAGGTCAGCAGCAATCTCTATTACAAGTCAATGTAGAAACTGTGTAACAGACCGACTTAAACCAGGGTGCATTTAATGATTTTTCCTTTCTTTTTTTATTTTCAGCACAGTTTCCCTTAGACAGCTCTTCCTCATGACACGGAATTAGCCTAACTACATGTGCAATGACCTAAACTACCCTGATAATTTCTACAACAGGCAGGTCTAACCCTGCTTGGTAGCAGGACATTCCCAAGACATTTTTCTGCCAGATTCTCAGCACCCTTAATTCTCTCCCGAGTCTCTGCAGGAGCTGAGGCTCCTCAGCTCTTGTGGCTGTCAAGCTTTTCCTTCCTTTCCCCCACCAAATACAGGAGGAAAAAAAAAGAAAGAGAAAAAAAAAGGAAAGAAGGAGGAAACCACACACATGCTCCTACACACATACACACGTAGAGAAAGAAAGGAAAAGGGTAAGAAATCGTATGAGGTGCCAATCTGGAATGAAATGGATTGTTGAACAGACAGTCATATTTGGCACTGTCAGCAAAAGCTCGTGGGTGGCCCTGTTTCTCTCTGAGTCTTAATGCCCTTTTACATTGGTCATTTAAAAACATCACCCAGAAAGTTCCGCTGTGTCACTTTTGACATTGTTTTCACAATACGTCCGAATGGACTCCATGGAGAGATTCTTTTCCCCTCAGCCCAGTTCCGTAAAACATTGTACATTAAGGATGTTTTCCGTTTGGCCTTCAAGTAGCATTTTTATGGTCCATGCAAATCCACAAATCCACAGTTATTCTTCCCTTTAAAAAGGATCAACAGAAAACAGAGCCCTCTTTCTGGAGGACAGGAGAAGTAAAAACTGTTGGGTCTCCCAGCTGACCCCTCCAATCCTTAGGTAGCAGACTGGACTAAAGGGTCCTTGCACTGTTCTAGCTGCATTCTCAGGACACCGCTTTTGTGAAGAAACCAGAGCTGTAGAAACTCCTCCGGCATGGCGTGGAAGCCGGAATCGGGCAAGACGTTGTCGTAGTAGTGATGGCTGATGAACTTCCCACGCAGGTCCACCGAGAAGGGCCAGAAGCCGTAAATGGTGACCTCCTCACACAGGCCGAGGGCAGCGCTGACCAGGAAGAGTCCCGTGGAAAGCCGCTTGGCGTGGATGCCTTTGCTCTTCCAGAACTTGCCAATGTCACGCAGGAAATTGGGGTTGGCGAAAAGCACCGTCTGCTTGGCACCAAAGTCCTGCAGGGTGTAGTAGACACGGAGGGAGGGCCCTGTCCCTGTCTTCATGGAGAAGGCTGGCATGTAGATATAGCTGTGGTTATACACTTTAACGCTGTCCACAAACGCTTTCCTGGACCAAAGCAGATTCTGGAACCTGGAAAACACCAAAGAAAAGCATGTTGCTCACATATAGGCTCTTCCGCTCCTGTCCGAATCCACCAAAAAGCCACTTTTCCTACGTACACTTAAAATTAAGTGTAGGCTTTTCCTTAGCCCAGAGAAAGTCCGGACAAACTTCTCACTGTCTTAACACCACATTTCTTCTAAAAACATAAACTCAAAGAAACAGTTGAAAACTAAGTCCAAAAACCAAAATGTTTCTGATTTCATTTCATCAAAAAGAACCCAAAGGAACACTGGCAATTTTCCTGGAAATTGATAATCTTCAGCGACAGTTTTCTTTTTCTTCAAAATCCAGGTTACTCTGGGGGCCACAGAAGTCTTTAAAAGATACTCTGAAAGTCCACATTATTCTTGTTTTTTAAAAGTTTATTAAAAATCACCCAAACTACATTCTGAACAAGCAATACTAAGAAATATTTAGATATGAATACCAGTTTTATATAACTTCCAAGTCATTTGTTTTGATTATGCATTTTTAATGACTTCTTCTGGGTTAGGTTATGTGATCATCACAGTTAATTCTCATTCTGGAATTGAGAAAAATCTCAAAGAACATATTTTCTACCAACCAGGAAAACAGTCATTTACTGATGTCTATTTTATTCCTGACTTTAGACCTATATATTACTTCAAAAATTGGATTTTATCAAGAATATAACCTTTCCATGCCATACACTTCTGGATGTGCCAAGACGAATGAGATATCTGGCAGGAAATTCTAGGTCATCCACACAGTGCTTATGTTTATTACATTGCATTAGATGATACTGATATAAAGGTCAGTCACACGTAAAATCCAATACCTAAACCACAACTCTATTGAATAACAGGAGTCACCTGCTCGTCTTAGGGCTGTGGAGCGGTTTGGAGGACGCTTTTCTGTGATAAAAATCACAATGATTTGCTCTTGAGAGTCTGCTTTCTTTTTAAAGCCTGAGAAACCTTCACAGCCCCCATACACTTCAGCATGCAAAAACCACGACTTTATTTCTGCACAGTCCTCACATTCACTCCTTTCCTACCAGCTGGGTTGCTCTGCCATGCATGAGCCCTAATGATTTCTCAGTTCACAACTGTCCGTCTTGTTTTTGTTGCTCCATCTTCTCTCTCAGTTTCTCATAGCTCAGGCTCATATACGTGTCGTGACTGATTTCACAGTCATACAGCAGAGCAGTCAGAAGCAGCAAGCTGGGACACTGATTTTTTATTTTCCTTTCTCTGCCACAGGCAGAGAGAGGTAAGACAACAGCTTTTTCAAAGGGCTATGAAGAGATCAATTTTATGTATAAACTTCTTGGAAACAAGAATAGAAGAACCACATGCACAGCAAGATACACGGATTTTAACATGATCCAATGTGACCTGAAGAAGCAATGGAAAAAAAATCAGCTGAAACAACTGCCAACAAAAAATACAGCTACAGCAACATCCAAAGGTCTCATGAACATGCGTCAGCATCATAAAGTCTTTGTTCTGGCAGAAAACTTAAAATGTTCCAAACAAATTGAAAGATTTTGTTGACATTTTCAGAACACAATCTTTGGTTTCTGATTTGCTACAAGTTTCTTTCAAAATTTCCTTCAGGTTCTTTTCAGAAAATACATACCAAAAAGACACTCAAAGGAAACTCACGGGAATGCTGGAATAAACCATTCTATTCAAACTGGAACAAATTTGAATTCCCTGTGAATTGAAATTTGGTTTTAGGTATTTTTTTTCCAAATTGACTTGAAAGAAAAGCAAAGTGCATCCTGTGTTTCTTTTTAGGTTAGGAGTTCTCCAACCGCTAACAGACTTTCAGTCCACAGGATCAGACTACAGATACTCTGAGGCAAAAGCCCTAAAATGAGCCAAGACTGGATCTTCTGTTTTGCCCTAGAGACCTGCTCCTACTGCACCGTGCTGTTTGCTAGTAGCAAATAGACAAAGCCACTGACTTCCAAACAAGAAATCAATTCAGTCTGAATATCCAAAATACAACTATAAGACTCATTTTGAAGCTTACTACATTTGGCATTTTTCTCTCTAGAAACAGCCAGGGTACATAGTTGTACGTAGCAGGTCAGCCAAGAGCCAAGTGCCCTGGCTGAATTTCATAGTCTAGTGGTATCTTCTTGTGCAAGCCCTCTCACTTGTTACCATTAGACCTCCAACAAAGTGTTCCCTAAAACTATCTTTACAGTTTTCTCTTCCTAAAGATCCCTGGAGGAGGACTGGCTGCTGGTCCTGTAGCTGGCTGTCAGGAATAGGAATTGAGGCTCTTTCTTTACCTCCTGCTTGAATCAAAGTTGCTCCATTTTGATCAGAACACAGTCACTAAGTGAGGCAAAAATCTCTCCCTTGATACTGGCAATAATCGCCTGGGAGTAAAAAGTTTCAGTACCCAAGCCCTGTTCCAAGGACTGTCTAATTGTTTACAAGGCTAGAATAAGATCAGCAGCGGAGTTTCAGAGCACCTCTCTCCCTTGGATAACTTGGAGTATCCACTGGGAGATGTGGGTTCAAACTTCCTTTCAGAGAACGGGGAACCTGAACACGCAGGATGGGGATGGTGGGATCCTGGACGGATGGGGGCCCTTGCACACTGGATGCAGGGAAGACAGAGGCAGCTCCTCCTCCGACAGCGCAGGCAGCCAGTTTTACCATTTTCTTTCCCACTCACAGCTAATTAACAAATTTCACTTCATCTGGCAAAGAGATGTGTTTATTCGAAAACTGTGTTTTTCAGCAGATTTACTATTCACAGAAAAAAATACATAGTTCTAGGATGAATTCACTAAAGATGCTCAGATGTGGCCACGGAGTGACAGGGCCTGGCGCTGCATATTCATGTGCTATTGTTGCCACAGCACATTTACATTTCGTTTAGATGAATCCTTCCAAATGCCTCATGAAGAAGCACATGGTGCTGCGACGATAATGCTGATTAGGAAGGACTTCATGCAGAAGGGGTAACATTTGTCATGTTTTTGCAAATTTTTCTTCGGAAACATCACTTCACGGACACCAGTGTCTTATTCAAATGGTATGGATCGCAGTGTCATTAGGCATCATGCCCAGTTCAACAGATGGGCATTATACAGGTGGCCAGGAGCCCATGTAGAAGCATAAAACATGCTGATTACGGCTGGTCTGACAGCCTGAAACAACCGAAAAGCTGCTGCCCATCCTGCGCTCCTCATGAGGGGAGATATTAGAAGCAAATGAAATTTTCTGTTCCTAGTTTGTAAAAACAGGAACCCTGGCCAGCTTTCTGACGTTCTCACACGGGCTGCTTAGACCTGGGGACAAATGCTACCAAGAGCAGATTTCTAGAAGTCTTACTCGAGAATATCTCCCAATCCAGAAGGGGGTCCTGCAGGCAAAACCATTCCAGTTGTAGCTTTGGGTGGGACAACCCTTCCCAGAACACTGTGAGGACACTACTCCATGCCCAACGAGACAAGGAGATCTTTTCCTCAGCATCTGACCAGCTCAGGAGCACATGCATGAATGTGTGGATATTGCCTCTCTCTGCGTGTCCTAGCATAAATGCTGGTAGAGTCTATGGGTTCAGATGGGCACCAAGACTTTCCTTCCTGCAGGGTCTTTGAATAAGGAGCAGCTGGTTGCTCGTTAGTGCTTGCCCTGACCTTACCTGTCTTGCTTTGAAAGTTCTGGCACTCTCCATAGCACCACAGCTATGTGATTCATCCCTACTCAAGGGACTTCAAAAGAAACCCGACAAATTATCCAGCCCCTTGTGCAAGAGTGTGTCTCAGAGCAGATTCTCTGTCAACCCCATTCTGAGCAAGAATCGCAGTCAGAATCATCCTTGGACCTTCTGCTTATACAAACAATTTCATACGGTGGGTTCCCAGCACTTACTTAGATAAAACTGGAGCTGGAATTTCCCAAGCCCCGAGCAGCTCCTGAGAAACTGCAGGAGGCGCTTAGGAATTTGCAGCCGTGTCTCCCAGCACCCGGAGAGCCGCCCAGAGAGGCGACGAAGGCTCAGACTGTGAGCAAAAGCAAATCACAGCCTGTTCAGTCGGGGCGTTTTGCTTCTGCTGCACTCACTAATGGACAGTGAGTGAATAACGCCATCAGCAACGTATTTTTCCTGTCAGGTCCCATATGACAGATCAACTTAAAAAGCACACAGTTTTCAATGGGCGTATGTAGGCATAACTGCACAGATATCAGAGAAATAAAATCCTTTACACCAGCTGCAGAGTTCTCTCAAATGCCGCATTCCTGTGCTTTTTCGGAGAGAATTATGCATCCAAGAGAAAACTGCTAGAGACAGTACATTGCAATGGCAGTACAATCAAAGCCTTAAGAGCATTAAGTGTTTTGGGTTTTGTCTTTAATCTGTCTTCAATGTTCTTATTGATGTTCTCTAGCAGATATTTGGGATAGAACTGTTCTCTGGTACTACGAGACGCCTTCCAGTAACCGCAAAGAACTCACTGCAGTGATATTGAGCTAACCCACTCGCAGCTAATAATGGCAGCATTTTCTTGCATCCCCGTTGCTCTTTCATCTCCCTAGAGTCACTATCTCATGCTTATGATGACATCCCCGTCATTTGCTGTGTTGGCATCTGCAAAGTCACAAGTTCAGCATTCCGGATTAATTGCAAGATGACTTACCACAAAAAGAACGATTGACTAATGAGGGTGACAGCTCGGATGCCAAAGAAACAGTGTATTATTCCAAAATTAAGCCAAGTACGGCTCAGGGGAATAAAACACAAGGCACATAAAGACTTATGTATTTGTTCACACAGCAAAGGATAACTTTACAAAAAATTATCTAGATAATTTAATGTCAGCATTAGCCGAGAATGATTTAGCAATTCGCTGCGGCTGTTGGAAAAGGCTGGCAGCTGGAGTCACAAGCAGTTGGCTTGCAAGCGCACATCCGAAACGTCACTGCTCTGACAGGAGTTTTACTGCGCCCGTTCCTCAGACCGCTGCCTTCAGCGAG